CTTCAAAACTAAATCAGCATTTGCACTTTGACAAGGGTTCCGAATTCTTACTGATAATTACCTAGTATTTAAAGATTTATCGAGTTATGCGTGAATAATCCTTACAAATCTTAAGATATTTGGCCAGTTAATATCTATTATGTTTGAAGCTCTAAGCAAATCTTATATAGATCACTTCACAACATAGTAAACTATGTCAATTCTATAAAGGCTATTGTTGTCCAGGATGTGGGATGGTTATGAACTCCCTTAGGTCTCATAATTGTCGGGTTAAGCTAAACAAGTTTGTTCGTAGGTCACACAGTTATTATTAGAGTTACAAAAAACGAGAATGTTCAATGTCTTTGTTGGTATCTTCAATAATTGGCGAGCAATCCACTAGGATCATTGAAATTGTTGCACATTTGAACGCTCAAGATTTTGTTTGTAACTAAATAAAAAATCATTAGCGTGTCGAGTTTATTGGCAAGTGCACAGATTGATATTGATAAAATTTCCTCATAGAATATGGGTTGAGACGTGCCTTAATTTGAGGGTCGTGCTTATCGTTTGAACTAGTTCTGCTATAGCAGTTCGTCTTAGGAAGTAATTTACCGGAATCCTCCCATATTCTGTTGTAATATTTAGCTTAAGTGCATGTTGGGCAGATTTTCACTATTCCATTTAATCTATGCGAACCCGAATCCAAGACTAAAATTATAAATATGACTATAAAGTTTGCTTTCTATTGGGTCTATACTTTTGAAAAATCTATATTAGTTTTGATGGATTTAAGAAATTATTTTCGGTTCACATTGGTTCAAGGAAAAGAGTGGCCTTCTAGCTGACTCATTGGTCTCCCTATATGCTGATGCAATACTTATTTTTCGGTGCCTTGACTGGTTTATCCGGTCTTAAATGTTACAAAGCATCTTATTCATGATCCTCCTTAGAACTTCCCATAAGCCTGGTTATTGATATGTACAATTTTTATTTGACTTTTATAAATAGACCAGTTTTGAGTTACTCTCATTATGGAATGACTTCTGCTAGATCGACTCACGATCGTCCTTTGGAATCTCTCCTCTATTCTAATGCTTAGCGAGCATTTCTCCGTAATCAATCCCGTTCTTTGGTGTCAAGAATTATGAGAACATATTTTGCTACGAGTATTTTATGCTTTTTCTCTTGAGGCCTGTCGGATTTTATCTAACCATGCACCTTGAGATAATGTACGCATTATTTTTCTGATTCCTTTGCTTTACTTGTTAGCTACATGTATTGGCTGTGCTCCACTGCGCAAAGCATGAAAATCGAACAGGCCGGTTTAGACGGCACACATCGCCGTCTGCTATTCTTTGATCGTGAATCTTCTGCGACTACACTTACTCTAGATGTTGAAAGACAACGACTTTACTGGATTTTTACTGGTCAGAAAGCGATTTCTAGCATCGATGTAATGGGTGAAGGGCTAGAGATATTTTCTATTCCAGGTTTGTTTTTTATTTATTCATGGCTACTTTTTGTCTTTCTTACGTTGGATATCTTAAAAATAGATGATTAACTTCAAAATGTGAAGTGTTTTATATATTGTCCACATTTTATTGTTATGTTGTTGCCATTACACTTAGGCTTTTTCATGTGCGATCAGGAGAAGTTCGATAAAATTTAGCCCAAGCGGAGCCTGAATTTCTTAATATAATACATC